CTCCCCTTTTTTTGGGGGGGGGGTGCTCACTAGTAGTGGATGGAGAACGTTAGTCGTGTCATACAATCCTCTGAAATACATTTTCTCTCACTGTGTACCGCCTCCCGCACCCCCGTGACTTCATGCTCCTCGCTCCTGTGGTCTCAACATGCATGAGCTCTACCATATGTGCTTTCTTCCTTATACTCTTCTCGTATAAGGCTGCTCAAGTAATTTACTCCTTGTATTCATTTTGCAATACGCTTTAAAACAGGATCTCTAAAATAGTGTGTTACTAGGAGAATAAATGGATTACTAATTAAAGCATGTGCAAATAAGTCAGAAATGAAAAACAGCTTGGAAAAAAGATTCAGGAGCAGCGAATTAAAGAGACAGTGCGCAGCAATTGGAATCAGGTGGCAATTAGACCTCTGCAGGCAGGTAGCTCTCCTCCCCCCATCAATTAGGATAATGGGCAGCTGCTCCCTTCAGAATCTGAAATAAATGGAGAAGCTCCCTATCATGAACCAAACTGGCCAGGAGAAAGGAGTGGATGAAGGTGGCAGGCGGGACAAGGACACACACAAACTGTACCAAGATATTGCGCTGCGCCTGGGCGCTGGACGAGCGGATGGAGCGCTTTGTTCGTGTTCCCTATGGCCTGTACCAGGGAACACAGTATGGGAACACCCTGCCTTGGGGCCAGCCCGGACTCTCTGAGCACAAACAGCCGGACTGGAGGCAGAACACTGGCGCCCCCACTTTCCTGGCCAGGCCGGGGCTGCTGGTGCCCACGCCCGCCCCGGGCTACTGCACGGACCCTTACAAGGGGGCGCAGCTTAAGGCCATCCTGGCCCGGATGAACCCCAACCTGCGCCTGCGCCTGTGCAAAGCTAACACCAAGGAGGTGGGCGTGCAGGTGAGCCCGCGGGTGGACAGGTCCGTGCAGTGCTCGCTGGGGCCCCGCACCCTGTGCAGTCGCTCCCCTTGGGGCAACACGGGCCCCAGGGCCGCCCTGCCAGCCTGGGGCGTCTATTCTGCAGTGACGGGCTGCCGGGGCTTGTCCCGGCCGCGGAAGGACTGGGAGGACGAGGGGACCAAGGCGCTTTCAGGTCCCGTGGAGACCAGCCAGCAGCTGCAGCAGCAGCCGCCGCAGCCGCCGCTGCCGCCACCAACGCCAGAGGCGCAGGAGAAGTCAGGGGAGGAAGATGCCCAGAGTCCTGGGGAAAGGAAGAGCCAGCAGGCCCCGGGAGACGCCTCCGACCAGCTCAGGAAACCCCGCTTCCAGGTGCACTTCCTCTCCCTTGTTCCTGTCCTCTTCGAGTCCCAGCCTCGCTCCCCTCTTGTCCATTCCTGGGGTAATGAGAGCAAAGCCTTCCCTCTCTTCCTCCGATGAAGGAGAGGAAGTTCTGAAAATGGATGTGTACATGGTCTGCATGTTTTGTCACTTAGTAAAATAAGGTGCCAGCTGTAAACACATGGGAACCAAAAGTCTGGCAACCACTGCTATTGTTAATGAGGTGACAAAGAAGAGTTTCAAATCTGTGAAATGTGTGATCCGATTTTCACTTTGGGGCAGACGGCTGGTAGCATTGTGGAAAATGAGTTGGAAAAGCATAAGAGACGGTAGCGAGAAGAATCTCAGTAATCCTTGAGAGATGAGAGGCTAAATTATTGTAGTAACCTTGGGAACAGCTATGAATGAGGTTAAAGGGGCTTTTTATATTTCACATAGAAAACCAAAAACAAAGAAGGATCTAGCTTCCTCCACCCAAGATAATGTAAGGCTCTTCTTCTTTATTTGCAGTTTTTGGAACCAAAATATGGCTATTTTCACTGTAAAGATTGTAAGACCCGATGGGAGAGTGCTTACGTGTGGTGCATTTCTGGAACTAACAAGGTGAGCAAAGTGAGCGGGATATGGAAGAGGATGGGGCAGCACAGACGCTGAGTGGAGGAAGAAAGTGTTTCCTAATGGAGTGTGGCTTAGTGCTGTCTTACTCACCTTGGCAGCCTCAGTGCCAGGCACATCATAGGTGCTCATCAAAGGTGTGGGTTAAACTGGACGGTCCATGTGCGCTCCTGAGGCTGCCGAACCGTGGCCTGGTGTTCTCTTGGGTTTGAAGGTGCTGTTGGACAAAATATCAGTTTATTTAGATGAACTTCTGTTGTGTGTGTACACTGGGACTTTCTATAATCATCTTGGTATATTTGAATGGGTTTGGGCCTCAGGGCTAGGAAATTTCCACTGTGTGTCCACAAGGTGGGGCAAAAGAGATTTTTCAGATAAATTTATTTAAATTAGTTGCAAGTATACAGTACATCGGTAAGATGTCTATATTGTTCCCTCCCTCCCCTGGCCCTCCACTTAGCCATAGATGTCTATATTGTTGATAAAACGGTTTCCCCAATTGCTCCCTCCCTCCCCTGGCCCTCCACTTAGCCATCATATTAATGCTAACTGTATTCCCTGTGCCGTGCAAAAGAGAAATTATTGTAAAGGTTAGCCTGTCGGATTCTTTTAGGCTAAGCAGCCCCCACCCCATGCACCTTAATTTGAATTAGTTGTGAACGTATTGAGATTGGGCAAGACTTCCCAGTCTGTGTTTCCATGTTTTCCTGAGTAGACTCTGGACACCATAGACTCGAGTTTCAGTGTGAGACCAGTCGGCCAGGGCCGAGCAGCTTCTCCCTCTCTTCACTGGGTGTGTACGCTTTCTTCTGAGTGTGTAACAGTTTACACCTGGTCTGTTTCATTAACTTCTACAAGCACCTGCATTTGAGTCACCTGTGCTATACTGGGTTTCCAGCCAAAGGATGGTACAGGGAGAGGCATGCTAAGAACGAATAAAAACATGACTTTCACATTAGCCATTACTGGACGCTGGAGGCAAATGTGTTTTTAAACTAAGCTAGAATTACTTTCTCTTGCTAGGAAAAAAAAAAAAACGTGTCTAATTCAAACACTTCAAGACACTAGGGTACAAAGAACAAAACATAGAATTCATCCTTAAGAAATTTATTCTGATAGGGGTGATGCAGACAGGATGCGATTTGGTGACAAGTGCAATGAATGGCAACCATAGTATGGACATGGTTTGGAAATAACACAGGAGGGGGATGATTAACCCTGTCGGGTTGAGGTGAGGATGGGAGGTGGAGGCAGGGGCGGTCAGGGCATCTCGATGTCCAAGTAGGACTTAAAAGGCTAAATCAGAGGAGCTCAGTAGTAAGTCGGGGAGGATGTGTGCACAGGGCAATGCTCAAAGCCTAGCATTCACGTGGATGGGTGGGTAATTGTGGGTAATTTGAAGATCAAGGTGGGAAATACTGGGGAAAAATTAAAGCAGGGGCTAAAAGACTGGGAAAAAAAGGAGAAAATCAGTGGTTTGGCCCGCACCAGAGTGAAATGACAACTGCTTCCCATTGAAGACTTCATGTGCATTGTTGGGTAGTTGTCAGAACTAGAGGGTCAGGAGTAGGACCGTGATCTTACAGGTAAGGAAAACGCAGTTCAAAGAGTAAGAAAAAGTAACGATAGCACCGGAGGAGCTTAAGACCTCAGGGTAGAGGTTGGGCAAAAGCAAGTGACAGGCGAGGGAATGGGCTACTTAGGAACTGGGAGCCTAGGGTACATGTAAACTTGAATAAAAAAAGACAAGTTTCTCTTTAGGTTTACTTCAAACAGCTCTGTTGCAAATGCCAAAAGAGTTTTAACCCTTACCGAGTGGAAGACATCCAGTGTCAGGTAAGCCTGTGGAACACTTCCATTGTGTCTCTAAGGCCTCCATTCTCAACGTGAAGCTTCTGTGGCATAACATTAGGGTTTGACAGACTTGGATGTCTATGTAGGAGGTTTAGATTTTCTGTGTTTTCATTTTTATAATATTTTAGGAAAAACACAAATTCTGGTTTTTCTTGGAGATGGGAGAAAAATTTATTCAAGTTGCCTTATGTGGTGGGTTTATGTAGGGGTGTGTGTTTTTCTTCAAACACTCTGTATAGTTCGGATGTAATAATTTAATAGGTAACCTTTATTAAACTTTTACTATATGCCACGCTTTGGGCTAAGGGCTTTATGTGCACTATCTTCTATAATCTAACTTTTGAGGTTGGTGTAATTCCCACGTTACAGAGCAGAAAAGTTCAGTGAGACAACAATTTGGTCAAGGTTAAACAGTTACTGTCAGTTGTGATCGGATCTCACTGCGTCTCCAGTGCCCTGGAAATCGCAGAATTAGGTGTACCTGGTCATTCTGGATTGAGTGCTAGCTTGTTTCCAAAATATCTGGCAGGAAAGTTCTCTCAGCTTTTCAGAAAAGTGTGACATAGTTGATTTTCATAATCAAGAGGTTCTTTTTTAAAAAAAAATTCTTCATTTAATTAAAAATATTTTTTTTAACTAAGCATTTCTAGATTGAAAAATAGTCTAATAACTTGCAAATGATTTATCTTTACATTTTCTAGTCTGATATTCTCAGTCTGTTTAATATAATTATTAAATTGGATTTAAATGTATTAATACTCCTTTTTCTTTCTTGTGTTCACTTGAGTTGATTTTAAAAAGAATTTCTCTTCCTCCCCCATGATCTTGGTGTTCATTCTTTACTGTTCTTCTGGTGGTTGCCCTGGACATTATGACGTAATTCTCCGATTTATCACAGTCTACGTAAATTGTTAATCTTACCTCATTGACAGTGACCGTAGGACACGCTAACTCCTTATCACTTAGTCCTGACTTACATGGTGCTGCCATTGGATATTTTAATTTTTAAACTTCACAGGACACATTATTCATCTAGCTTTAGCTGCATTTATCCTCTCCACTGCTCTCAGGTCCTTTTTGTTGCGGGGACCCCCTTTGACCTGAAGAACACATTTTAATATTCCCTATAGTGCAGGTCTGAGGATGGCACATTTCATTTGGTCTGGATAACTTTAAAAAAAAACAAACACGTTTCTGCTGGGTATAGAAGTTTCAGATTGGCAGTAGTTTTCTTTCTGCTCTCTAGGGCTCTGCCCTTGCTGTAAAGGTGGCCGTTAGTCTTAGCAGCAACTCTGAAGCGATCTCTCTCACCCACTCTTCCTCCCCTTTTAAATCTGCTTGTTTTTGAAATATTCCTCTCTGCTTTACTTTTCAGCAGCTTCACAACTAATATGCCTTGCTGTTTCTTTATATTTATCATGCTTAGGATTCATAGTATTTCTTGGATCTGTAGCTTGAAGGTTTTTATCACTTTTGGAATATTATCAGCCGTTATCTTTTGAAATATGACTGCCTCCCCATTCTCTTTCAGTTACTCGTATTAGACCCCTTGCCATGTCCCTTATGCCTTTCGTGCTATTTTCTGTATTTCCTACAGTTTTATTTCTCCCCGCTTCAGTTTGGACATTACCTACTAAGCTACTTCCATTTTTCTGATTCTTTCCTCGGCTCTTTCCAATTCGCTGTGAAACTCATCTACTGAGTTATTGATTGAAGTTATTGCATTTTTCAGTACTAGAATTTTGTCTTTTTGAAAAAAATGACTTCCAGTTTTCTGTTGAAAATATCAGTCTTATCTTAAAATCTGTATCAGATAAGCCATTAATTTAATCCCCTGTGATTCTGTTGGTAGCCTCTTCATTTCCTTGGTTTTCAAATGCGTTCTGTTTCCTCATATACCTGATTATTTTTGATCAAGTGCAAGATATTGCATATGAAAAATTATGCTGATAAATAAGGCCTAGAATAGTATCTTCCATAGAAGATTTGCTTCTGGCAGATGATGGGAAACCTAACAATTTCAGGTCTCTGTTTTCCAGTTGGGTAGAGATGTTTTGAATCTGGGCTTTGGCATCTGTGAAGGCTGGTCAATTTTTGGTTCATCCTTATCCTTAGGGTATAGCTTTTCTGGGTCCCAACTCAAAAATTGAGTTGTCTTCCAAGCTTTTCCATTTTTTCATACTTAAAATGGTTCCTAAGCCTTATCAACTTGTTAGTCATTTTAAGTTTCCAACTGTCTTTCTCTTCCAGAATTGGCAAGTACCTTTAGAGAAAAACTCCAAATGTCACCTCTATTTCTGTTTTTTTTTTTTTTCTCTCTAATGCTTTGATAATTCTCTAGTGATTTTAAATAGTTCTTTTAAAAAATTATTTTTAGCTCAGTTTTTTCAGTTGTCTTAAGTAGGAGGCTTGGTCAAAATTACCTAATTCACTATTGCCAGAAACAAACCTACCTTTACAGTAAGCCTTGATTTTTTTTTTTTTTTTG